GGTCTGACCCATGTTATTGGCGAGGAGACGCATAAGGGCGAGGAAGTGTTGTCGGACATGACGGCGGGGATTCAATTTGTCCAGTTCAAGCTGAGAAAGAGCTGGAAGACAGGGGCGGTCGGGGAAGAGGTCACGAGATTCTCCAAAGACAAGAGTTGGCTGCTTGGTGATGTCGTCAATACCCAGTTGAACAAGAGTAAGCGCATAACCCAACACTCCGCCTCGCTGACACATCAGACCCGTTCAATCTCCTGGGCCAGCTGCAGCTGTCATTCGTCCTACTCTTGTATCTATCTCTCTACGGCGCATTGTCCACGTACAAACGCCTCTTGCCGCTCCTCACTCGATCCCGCTCGTTCCTCTTGCACCCGGAGCAGTACTTGGGCAACCTCGACATGACCGTGTTCCTCCGCGCCGTAATCAGCACACTGACGGCTCAGCTGCATGCGATCCCCGATGGGTCGTTTGAGACGGAATTGCCCGAGTTCGACATGTTCCTTCTCGACGAGATCGAGTCGCTGCGCCATGATATCGCCTCGTCGCCGTATCGCGCATCCCTCACGACTGAATGGGAAGAGTTACGGCGGGTCGGCCAAAGATGGCATTGGGATATCACCGGTCTGTCCCAGACTGACGTCGAGGAGGACGAAGAATCAGACGAGGAGGGAGAGTACGCGCCCGTTGTGGTGGACATGTGAATGCATCGTTTACAACAACCAAGGGATGATGGCTTTCCTGTTCTTTGGGTATCGATCTCCAAACGTGTCAACGTACCATCGATGGCCCCTGATCGCCCTTGGCAGCATCGAGGCGATTTCGAACGCTACAAACATCCACGCCGGATGGAGCAGTCTGGTCGGTTTCCAAGGCAGAGCATCCAAGAGGTGCAAGAGCCACGAGGGCAAGGTGGTGAGTGATGAGCGAGGGGGTAAGGTGATGAGGGGCGAAGGCGAAGCAGCGAGCGCGTAACAAGTCCATTCGAACCTGGCCGTCAACTGATATTGAAAGCGGGGAGGGGGAGACGTACCATTCGCAGAGGTAGTTGGGGAATGAGACGACATCAAAGAGACCTCCGCGGGGGATGGCATATCGACCGTTGCCCGCTTTCTTGTCCTTCTCGTGTTCCTTGCTCGGCGAGGTGACCAGTTTCTGGGCATCTGGGCGGCGCAGATCATTGAGGATCTCGTCATGGTACACTGCATGTCAGCGTGGACGGATGGGGTTTGGCCCCTCACCGTTGCCCAGGAAACCAACCGCCCAGCCGGCCAGACACCAGAGTGTTCTCGAGCTTTGAGGAGCTGGGTAGAACGCCAATCCAACCGCGAGACAATAAGCGTTCCTACCGTGAGCGATCGCGCGAGGAGACCCTTTTCATTCAGCCTTACAAGACATTGTACACAGCAGCGACGATCGGGACGATGATGTGCACGTCGCTTCTCTTAGGCGACAATACCAACGGTGACATGATCGCCCGGTGAAAGTAGTGCGTGATGTACACCCCCTGTGCGCCTTAGTCACTATCATGAGATGAGCGCTTACAGCGAGTACAGCCGAGTTTGTACTGAGCTGCACGGGGATCGATCCGAGGGTCCATAGCAGTACGGACGGCTGTCCGTCAGTCACCGACGCAGTCTGTATATCCCCATCCGACCTACCGCTACAATCTCCATACAGAACCAAGAGATGTTCCCTTGAGGGAGTCAGCTCCTGTGTTCCGACAGAGCCGGGCTGCGTACCATTGACGACCCATTTTTTGCCCTTGGGCGCGAACCGGCCAAACGGCGCGTCGAGCAAGAACAGCGTGAGCGGCATGTGCAGCGGCAAGAGGTGATACAGCTCGAGAGCCGGGGTGAATAACCCTGGGGCATGTCTGGACAGCGAGGCGATTGGCATGTTGAGATAACAAGAAAGGTGAAAGCAGAAGGATCAAGATCGAGACTGAAATATAATCCTGTACGTCATTTCGAGACGCCGAGATCACAGACAAACTAACACCCGGCGCGAATGACAAAAATGTCAACAATGCATATGCGGATGGAGATGAAGATGAATAGATTATCAACAAGATATCCTCTAGTACAGTAATGTCCCCTGGTAGTGTAATGATAGAAAAGGAAGCCAAAGTGTCCATCCACTCGTCTGTCAGACCAAACTCCATCCTCCGGCCAGCACGATCCCAAGCATCAATCGCCAGTCTACCCAATCCCTCCTCGCCGCACCGCTCTTGCTGGTCGTAGAGAGAGCTGCAAACGAAGCGCCGCACTGCGCATTCACCACGTTGATCGCATTTTGCAGGATCGTGCCGTTGAGCGTGGTTGTCGCGTCGAGTGATTCCGAGTAATGGTTGAGTAGTAGACTCGAGCATTTCGAGCACGTCGGTTTGGATGTCCCGGGTAGACTGCTCAGTCAGCATCAATCTCGCCCGGCGTACTCACGGTGTGCCCGAAGGGAGAGACCAAAGGTACAGGTCGTCCGGGGCAGTCGAGGCCAAGGCTTCAAGGTAGCAATACTTGCCCGTGTCTGGGTTGGTGATCGTCGATGCCTCTCTGATCAATTTGTAGTTGCCCACGCCCAACTGTGCATCGAGTGCCACCGCTTTGGCTTGAGCGAGGTCCCCTGCGCAGTTGCCTTTCGCGTCGAGAGCCGAAAGGACCCCGGCGAAGTACTTGTCGCAGGTGTCCGTGCCGGGAGACGGGGAGGCGGTGTACGCGACGAGCTGGTTGATCTTGGTGAGATCGCCTTGGGCCAAAGACGCGGAAAGCAGCGAGGCGTACGAGGTGGATGTGGTCAAGAGGAGGGATAAGGGGAGGCAGGATTGGAGAGTCGTGGAGGAGAGGACAGTGGTGAGGTAGAGCAAGCACGAGTCGGAAAGGGCGTATGAAATCGAAAGGTCCATGGAGGTAGGGACGGGTGATGGCGGTGATGATGGCGCGCGAGAAGGCGGTAGAGGGACGGTAATGTTGGCCGCGGTCTTTGCTCGTCGTGACAGCTCGTCCGATGAGCTAGGCTCAGGAGGAAGGGCATCGGGTCGGTGGGTATTTCTCGTCGACGACGACGCGGCGAGAACGCTGTCAATTATGCCTAGAGCGGCGAGGCAGAGGGCGAGGGGCAGACGCATGGTTCGAACCGCGCAGGATGCGCAGAGTGTGGGAAGGTAAAGAACGTGAGGTCGTCTCCGACAGAGCGGGTAAGGCGAATTGGTAGGTTTGAGCTTGGTGTTTTCGGTGGGTGTCAGTCTGACATGGTATGGGTGGAGAGGGTCGTGTCAATAACGATGAGGAAAACAAAGATCAACAAATGGTGAGGACAGTCGCCGAGTATCATCATCATCATCACGGTGCGTCTCCCCTCTCCCCTCGTACACCTCCCTGCGCATCCATCTCATGGGACCCGTGCAAAGGGATGGGAGGCGTTCAGAGGCGTCCCACAGGAAAAGTCGCATCGGAACAGAGGGTCAAAACACACACCCATCAGATCTCAAAGGCCCAGACAAAAGTCAACCTTGTTCCTGAGCGGAACGTGGGGGGGGGCACCATGGGTAGAGACAAGTAGCCTCCTCACCGTGGCTGTCGAATCGCCCATCCGGATCGGACATCCCATGCATGATACCTCTTTCTCAGAACGAGACTGCTTCATAATGTCTTCCATCTCAAAGATGCATGCAGCACCTCGGTTGACGCGTTGTAAGCAGGTCGTGTATCCTGTCTCGACACCGTGTCTGACCATCAGGGACAAGGCACAGACCGACCGGCCCGTCCAATTAATAAATCCCTAGGGTTTATCCCTTTCAAAGTCATCTCGACGACATGGGCATAGACCACCATCCTTTGACACGGCTCAAGGCTTTCCCAGCTAGGATGGGAACGGACAGCTGTCCTGGCTATGGATTGACGGGCTCCCGTTCAAGGGATCACAGCTTCTTCCGCTCGTCGATGTGAGCGGAAGGAGCGCGTCATCTCATCCAGTCTCATCCTTTTGCAATAGTTTAAGGCTGCGCTTCCTTGCCCGATGGGCCGGGGTGCAGTCTGAGAGAGGCTGAGCGTACACGACAGCCTGACCGTCCTGATTACATCCGCCCATCAAAGATGGGGAAGGAGGGTGCTGCAACGGCTCAGCGGCAGTACAGAAGGAGGAGCCACGTGCAGTCCACCCCTGCGCACCAGAACAAGCTCGTAGCGAGGAAGTCTACGCGTCGCATCGAGCCCGCACCTGCCTTGGATCGTGACGTGCCGGGACGAGCTCGGAGAAGAGAGCCGTTGCGGCCAGAGGACATCAGAGGGCATGTGGCAGATCAGTGATGGGGAGATCGAAGCCCTGGTTTCTCGAAAGCCGATCATCAGACTTACAATCCCCTCCTGTCCTGCCTCAAATTGAAGTCTTCAGAGCTGCTGATACCTTGGGGGCCGCCCCCCCCCCAGTCTGTACAGAATGCCTGCGCTCGACGTCTGAGCTCGACCTGTACAATCGACACGCCAAAGTCAAGACACGACGACGATCCCGAAGAGAGAAAAGACTCCGATATGCCTACAGTACTACCTTCCCAGAGGCACTGGAAATGCTCGCCACCCGTCAACTCATCCCGGACTCACAACGAGACCCGTCGAGTTATCGCCCATACGCCGCTCTATTGAGCGATAGCAGCGAGGCCCCTTGCAGTAGCTTCCTCCCCCGGGTATCCCAAGACCGCTCGCAGTCCAGACTGTCCACGCCCCATTATACTCATCTATATCGGTAACCCAGGGTGCAGTCAAGACAATTTTCGTGGTATCCCCCTTTTTCGCTGTCCACAGGTCCAGCTCCCATCACCATCAAGGCCTCAAATACATACCCGAGGGGCGCAGTGACCGTGGTTGATGATCGTATTGCGGAGACGCAGACATGGGGAGAGGAGAGGAGATGGGAAAGCAGAGATAGCTAGTTACCATCAGATGGCGTAAGCCAAGTCCGTCCCAATGATATCGGATTTGGAATGCAAGAAAACATCAGAGCGTAAAACACGCGGTTCTATCGTATAGTCGGTTAGTACATCGGATTCTGATGATTCAATCATATTCCGGTAACCTGAGTTCGAGTCTCAGTAGGACCTCAAATTTTTGCCTTTTTTGGGGCCCCGATTCTTCCCCTTTCACCAGCTCTGCCTGCCATGTTTTTGATCCCGCTTCCCTGTCAACACCCCCTTGCGATCGAATTGTTGTCGTCCCTTTTCTCCCTTTTCTCCCTCGCACCTCCACCCTTCACGTCCACTTCTGACCTATATCACCTGCAGAGCGACCCAGGATGGCTTCGATGGCAGGCTCATCATCTCAGGCCGATATCGACCCAGCGTTGCATCGGTACACGAGAGTCGACACGGCTGTCCCGATCGACCCGGCTCTGTTTGAGCTCGAGGGTTTGGTGAACGATGTGCGACAGGGCAAAGTCAAGTTGGGTGATCATCACGAGGAAGAGCACGAGGGGGGAGATGAGGATGATATCGACCCTGCTCTGCGGGAGATTGTCAACAGTCTGACGAATGCTCAGCAGGTAGGTCGTTCCCCCCCTCGCCAACATCCATCCCCGCCCTTCCTGCCCACGTGTCGAGTCGGACTCACACGCAGTCTTCATCTTCTGCGGGTCCCAACCTCACGGCGGCACAGGCTGCCGCTGCGATCAGCGCCCACATGGCCGAGCATGATGACGGGGCCAGGCTGCAACAGTCGATCGAGGAGATTACGTCGGCCAACTTTGGTGCGCTGCCTCTTGGGGACTATGGAATGATCTCTGACGCGACAGGCCTGCTGATGCCATCCACATACCCTCCCTCGCCGCCTCCGTTCACCTTGCCCAACGGCGACCCAGATGTCGGGGAAGGCGAAGGAGAAGACGGCGAGCACGCTCATGCCGAGTCGTCTGCTGCGCCCGAAAAGAAAGGCAGGGGTCGACCCAAGGGCAGCAAGAACAAGCCAAAGTTGAACCCGAAACCGAAACCGCCTAAACCGCCCAAGGCGCCGGCGAAACCGCGCGGTCGACCACCACGACCGCGTACGGCAGAGGAGCAAGCGGCGTTTGAAGCTAAAAAGCACGATCGGGCGATGGGCATCAAGCGGAAAAAGGGACGACCGAGGAAGTTTCCGGGTTACCTCGTGCGGGATATGCGATTGCGCAAGAACCGCGCCGAATACCTGGAATTGATGCGGCGCGCCGAGGAGGGTTTGCCGTTGGATGGTATCGAGATGCACGGGACCGAGGAGGAGATGATGATGAATCATCCGGAGGACTCTGGACACGACGTGTCACAAGGGATCGAGGGCGAGGCAGACGGCCAAGCCCTGCAAGGGGCTGAAGAGGAAGACGATGAGATTGTGTACCCGTGGCCGACGGATGACCAGGCGCTTCTGGCCGTGGTGGGCGCGGCGCAGCAGCACATGGATGTGGACGTGGTGGATGCGGATCAGACGGAGGATTCAATCAGACAAGTGTTTGGGTTGCAGCCCATCCACCGCTGAACGAGCGATGGGGAAGTTAGGCGACCGTGAGGGTCGGTCTGTATTCGCCGTAAGAAAGGACGTTGTATGCATTTGTTCAGACGATGGATCAACCGCGCGAGGCGCGTAGAGACTAGGCTCGGCACGCCAAGGATCGTCACTGTGCGACGGACGCACTGGACGACCCATCTCCAAGGTGTCGTCGTGATACCGACCACTGATCGACCATCACGGCGGAGAGCTGGCGGTAGACTACATTACCGTCCGACAGACGACGACATCACCACTCCCCCCCCCTCTCTCCCATCCGCTGGCCGGACGATTGCTCGTACTCTGTTGACATCCCCCTTCTTGCCCCAGACTGACCCCGTCGGAGTGGTGCAGATGCTCCTGTGGATACCCCTCCTCCTCGTCGCTCTTTACGCTGGAGCCTCCCCTGTCAAGCTGGGGGACCTTGAGCTTCGGCAAGACGCCCCAGCTGCGAGTGGCACAGCGGTGGCAGCGGACGTGACTGCCGCTGCTACCATCGATATCACGGATGCTATGAGCGGTCCGACGTCGGCTCTCTCCCCTACCGCTTCGCCAGAGCCCCCTACTGCGACCACCAGCACTGACGACACAAGCGTTCCCAACGCCACAGCCGCCGCATCCCCTACCTCCAGTACTGGCGGTGTGGAGGGAGGTCCCCGCGCAGCCGCCTCGACAGGGTCAAGCGACCCGAGCAATCTCGACCTGACTGTCGTCAAGGTCCGTCGAGAATTCCACTCCCAAAGGTTGATGTCAGTTTGCAGCGTTGGCCGAATCGCTCGAAGCGTCGTTCTACGACGCGGCCCTCGAAAAGTTCTCTCCCCAGAGCTTCACCGAAGCGGGATACGAAGACGGCCAAGCGATCGTGGACCAGCTCAGGTGGGTTAGAAGCGAGGGGTGACAATGAGCACATGACGGCCATGTGCGTGCGTGTGTATGCGCTGACCCTGCCCAAGCGTCATACTCCAAGACGAACAGGCCCATCTCTCTGCCCTGCAGGATATCGCCAAGTCGCTCGGGGGGTCCACGGACGACCTCGATACGTGTGTTTTCAACTTTGACGCAGCGCTCCTCGACGTCCAGACCTTTCTCGCCACGGCGAGGGTCCTCGAGTTTGTCGGCGTCGACGCGTGAGTGACCTGCGCCACTGCCTTGCGCGGAAAATCGCACCACCATGACTGAGTAAAGGTACATCGGCGGGTCCATCTTGATCAGCGACAGGGCGCTGCTGGTCAACGCGGCGGAGATTGTAACGGTGGAAGGTCGCCACAACACCATTCTCAACCTCTTGAACGGTCGGTTCTGCGCTCACCCACCGCCACCCTCCCCAGCTTACACTCAGGCGGCTCATCTGTCCCTAACGCTTTCGACATGGTCCTCACCCCTCAACAAGTTTTGAGCGTCGCGGCGCCATTTGTGTCGAGCGGATGCGACCCTGCCGTCGCCTTGGGTCTTCAGCGTGAGGAAACGCCACCTGGTCTTGGTTACTCACCCACCCCAGCGACGCCGGCCCTAGTCGTGACGAATCAAGGGCCGGTGAGACCCGGCACGCTAGTCACGTTCGGAGGTGCAGGCATGGACGGCAAGAACATATCGGTGAGTCGACTCCCTGGATGGGGCGAAATGTCAGTGGACAGGACCTGAGACGAGACTTTATTCTGCAATATGATCGTTGGGGGCGCGACCCAAGCGATCGTTCTGCCTCTTCAGGAATGCGTTGTACCGGACGGACTTGACGGACCAGGTGAGTAGATCGGTCACCCCGTTGAGGTAGCTGAACGATAGTCCACCTCTTCGTGACGGACTCGGACAGACCTCTCAGCGCGAATATCGTCGACCGGGACGGTAGCATCATTGTCGCAGGCAGGTCGATCCCGCCTCGAGCCATCGAGACCTCTACTCATGCCCAGGACCTGCGGTCGTCTTCATCGATACCGTCCCAAACGCCTTGACTGCAGTCAGTGCACCGAGCAAGTATCTAACAAGCAATTGACCACCAGCTGCTCATGGGGCAACAGACGGAGGATGACAGCGGGGCAAGTGGTCAGCAACTCGAGGCAGGGAAAAAAGTCATCGTGACGAAAATCACAGTCAGCAAGACACACCATGGCCTCGGGACCCATGAGCCAGTCGATGGCCGCCTGGGAGGAGCCATCGGCCTGCAATGACATTGAGCGTCAAGGTATCGGTGTCAGTGATGATCAGTTGCGCGATTACCGTTTGTGATGTATACCCTCTGATGTGTCGAGCACGAAGCAGTTCCGATCTAGGTGCATAACATGATTTCGTGACGGGTCGATGAGCAGTAATCATGCGCTCATGTCTATGCCGCACCGCAGACGGCGTCTCCTACAGTCGTGTTAAGGATGAGTGCAACGATAAGGCCGTACAATCCCTGGCCGTTAGTGAGACCCCGGCTTCGCATACCCCAATAGGCTTACAATGACCTCCCTGTCTGTCAGCGGGTGTAATATTGAGAGAGCCACGTCAGCTTACGCGAAGATAAGAATCAAGACCATTGACACGAATACCTTGGATTCGTAGAGATATGCTCGGACACACTGGGTATCAGTCTCTGCGAGGCTTATAAGCTCTAGCGGCGACTCACGGCATCACCGACGATACCGATAGCATAGCCTGCGGCCAGACCTGTGAACCCACATGCTATTCTCAGTGTTCTGCGCTTGGTCTGCTGTTGTCGACTTACCCAGTCCTGCGGCGAGGTGGACGAATCCGGCAAATAGGGAGTACGGCTCAGAGGGCGATACTGCGATGAGCGGGGGGAGAGCAGGGGCAAGGGAGCAGACTCACTGCCTCCGGCGATCAGGACCGAGACGACCAGACCGTAGACGGCGATGACTTGAATCAGCTATACGTTTAGGAGTCGATGGGATCGACATACTACCGGACATCTGCGAGTGAGCGGGTTGAACGTCAACGGGACGAGTCACTCACAACGACAGGAATCAGCGACTGGTCGGGGTCAGCTTTGAATGAAGGTCAGACGCTCAGCATACCTTCATGATTAAATCGGGTCTAGATTATCAGCAAGGTGGCTCGCGTCTCAAAGCGAGACGGATGGGACTGACCGGAATGTACCCAGTCCGGCGATACCGATACCGGCTTTTGATGTGCCGTACGCTGCGCCGATTGTCGAGAAGACCATCTGGGGGTGAGATGGGATTGCTGCGAGCCTGAGCGATACTTACAGCACTGGTCACGCCGGCGAAGCTGGTTGTGAGCGAGAGGGCTGGGTGAGGGGAGATGACGGTGCGTACCCGAAGAAGTAGGCCCAAGGCGGGCAGAGCTCGGACATGATGATGTGTGTCGTATGCGAGGGATGTTGGGGCAAGGTCGTCTTTGTCTAGCTAGTATTTGCGCTCGATAGGGCTATGCGTCTACACGTTGGCTCGCGAGTGAGTACTCGATGGGATGGGATGGGATGTATGGAGATCGTCACTGGGCCGTGGTGGGTGGTTTAAATGGGTGGATTACATAATTTAATCTCCCCCTGTCGCCAGTCGGCTTACTCCGCTTCCCCCGAGGTCGACGAGGGGAGGGAGGACTTGCCGTTCTTGGCTCTCAACCCTCGGGT